TTTCTTTTATATTAAATATAGCAAATTCAGAAAAATGGGTTATTATTGTGTGGTCATTAATGGTCCTAATTCTTTTTTTTATAACTAATCTTTCTCTAACTTTAAATATGTTTGGCGAACAATAACAACTTGTTGCGCCTGTATCAATTAGAATTTTTAATCTTCTGTTGGACTTTGTTGTGGTCGCGAAGACATATGGGAGGTCGTGGCTTTGTCTAAAAAAGCACGCTCGTTTATGTTGTTAACCCTCTGATGTTTAACTGGAGGCTGTCCACTGTTTACTTTACTGTCCATTTCTCTTTTTATAAAATTGTTTCGTGGATTATAAAATTGTCCACCTTGAACATTTTTATTTCGATTATTATAATTTCTATTAAAATTATTATTTTGTGAAAAACCTCTTTGATTTTGATTATATTTTTTATTTTGATTATAAGCATTTTGCTTAAATTGATTGGAGTCATCGACTTCCATTGGTTCAGGTTTATTAAATGTTCTTTTTTGATTAAAGAATCTATTGTTATTAAAATTATTATTGATAGGAAATCGTAAATTATTCCTATTATTATTAAGGTAATCATGAGCATTATTTCTGCTGAATTGCAGAGCGAAGTTTGCTCTCATATTATTTGAATCTAATTCTTGGGCTTTTGCCAAGGCATTAGGTAGGTCCTCTGGAGAGAGTGAGAACAGGATATTAGATAATGGAGCATTCAGCCCCGTGATAAACACTCGAAGAGCGTTTTGACGATTTTGATCATTTATAATTTTAGTTATATTATTGTTTGTACCATGCGTCATGATGGTTTTGTTTATTAAGAGTGTCAATTTTTGATTCACTAAATTGTAATAATCTATAATTGAACGACTTCCTTGTCGTAGTACACTCAATTCTTGTTCAAGAATATGTAATGGTCGCTTGTCTGCATAAGCGAAATCTAGACGACTAATAATAGCGTCAAAATTGAGAACTGTGCCATGGCTTGTCAAAACGTCATTGGCATCCTGAATAATTTTATTACGAAGAATCGTAAGAGCTGCGAAGTATCTCTTACTTCCTTTAGTGTAAAGGTGAATAGAATTATTGGCGGCCTCGCGCCAACTTACATACAGATTATTTTTACCAGAAAATTCGGGTAAGGATTTGATTATACCTAAAGATTCATCGCATTTTATGTTATCATCAATTGTCTGCGTTTCGTATTCAGTAACTACGTTTGTATTCGTCAAGGCTAGTAATTGAGTTTTTAAAGTATTAATTTCTGCCTGAAGGCTAACTGTGTTAGCAGCAATCAGTCTCGTAATTATGTCAGTGTTTTCGGTCATTTTGGACACGCGAAATTTCTTAAATTTTGAAAGAAGTTCGTCCAGTTTTAAGGACTCTTTTATATCAAATATCCAAAACGAATAACCAAAAACAAGGCAAAACAAAAATTTTTGCAGAGCTTTTTTTTTTATATATATATAAAGGAAAATTATTAAGGATTTTACGTAAAAATTATTTAATTATGTATTTTTATACAAGTATTCATTAATATTTTTATTTAATAGTTACACATATATAAATATTCTTTTTTAACGCACCCAGCGTAAATGCAATTATAGTGCTTGAAAGAATCAGTTTTAATACCAGCGATTAACGCATTGGGTATTTTAATACAATCTTTATTAAAGTATTTTATATAAATTTATTTAAATCAAATAAAAGAGTAAATAATAATGTTAGAGTTGATTACGAAATACCTCCAGTAATTTGTTTGTAGATGGTGTTGTTCCTATCAGCACCAATAGTAGAGAAGTTGTTATTGAGATTGATTTTGTTGATTGTTGTCGCGTTGACTTTGTATTCTAAATGCCTCGAAAAATCTGGAGACGCTCGGGCTTAGGACTGAATTATCCTGACTTCCTTCAGGACCGTAGATGCTGTCTAAGTATCTTCTCGCCTTTATACTTGCAGATCTGTTCTGCAATATTCTGAGGACTGCTTTGTGCTCGTCAGTAAGATTGTCATCCATTTGGTGGTTCAAAAGTTTTTTGTTTTTATTCAGCACAATTTCATTCAAGAGCAATTTAGCAATTTTTTTTATTAGAATTGTTTTTGCTCAGTTTTTAATATATATTTTGTCATCAATTATTTTCACTAATTTTTTTATTTTTTTCGTATGCGATTTTCTGTACGCACTTTAAAAGTTTTTAAAGATAAAAGATGTATCTTTTTATTTTATATTTTAAAATATAAATTATACATGCAATATTTTAGTTTGTGTTTTTGTGCACTGAATAATTTTTATTTATCTTATTAATGTTAGTTATTAAAATTTTTTTTAAAAAAAATTTCACTCGCGAAATCTCGTTTTATATTATTTGAGATTTTAGATTTTTATGTCACTTTTCTCCCCTTTTTTTGGGATACTTGATTGTTAAAATTCGCTGCAAACACCTTTGTTCTCGGGTGTTATGTATTGCAGGAATTTTTAATTTTTTCACTCACGTCGCGTACTCTGTTTTTAATAAATTTTCCACATTAGCGTGAGTTCACTGTGGTTGACACTCGCGTCGCATACTTTTTATTTTTTGCAATAGTTACGAGTGCGTTCACTGTGATTAAAACTCGCGTCGCATACTTTTGTTTGCGTTTAGCGTGAGTTTACTGTGACACTCGCGTTGCATACTTTTTATGTTCTGCAATTGTGACGAGTTTACTACGGTTGACACTCGCGTCGCGTACTTTTTATTTTTCCGCAATTGTTACGAGTGCCCCACGTTGTTGGGCGCCAATTAAATTTATTCGTCACGAGTTTTAATTTTTAAAAAAAATATTTTTATTTATTATATTAAAGATATATATATATATTACAAGTTATATTTTTCCGAATAGGTAAGGTTTAAATGGTGAATTCTCGAATGCTTGAGCTAGACTGACTCTTGAGGTTTTATTCTTCAATAACTGAAGTTATTGTTTTGATTACGAAATTGGGTTTTATCCAATTAGAACACAGCTTCTAAAATTCCTGAGAATTTTCTAGAAGCGTCTTTTCCTCCAACCAATAGAATTGGAGCTTCTATTTGCTAAAGCACCTCGTCAGCGTCTTTAGCTTCGGCGTCAGTAGCCGGAAGATGATGTTTATATTCATCAATCAAATATCTAAAATGTGTTACAGTTTTAAAGAAAACAATTTTGTTTTCCTTTGCAGCATTGGTGTCAAATGAAATGTGGGCATTGACCCAGATTCAGATTGTTTATGTAAACATATTTTAATGCGTAATATTTAAGTACGCATTCTGAAGATACAAAAGTATCAAACAGTGGCTCAGTGCCGTTATATTAATTTAGGGTTTTAACTTACATATAAGTGAATATGTTACTCCTCCCATCCCTTGAAATTACAGTGTCCTCACTGTTTACAATATGTTTTTTTTAATGTACGTAAATAAATTATAAATATAATTATAATGAAACTAAGAGTTATAGTCATATAAGTTATTGACAAGTTAAGTTTAAAATTAGAATTTACTTTTTCTACATGTTCTTTTAATTCTGTTAAAGTAATATTTTCAAAATTTATTTCATTATTTTTAGTAAAATACAACATATTGATTGGTTGATGTGTTTTCTTAATTTCAATACTAAAATTATTTATTTGAACTTTGCAATTATTGAAAGTAATGATATAATTTTTTTTAATTTTAATTTCTAAAGTATTACAATTTTGATTAATATATGATGTATTTATATTTTTTGTGATAATAATATTTGGAGGAAAATATTGAATTAATGGCTCACTAAATTTGCTATATTTACATTCAGTTTTTACATCATTTAATATATTTTTAATACATTCGTCTTTTACAATTTCAAGTTTTTTATTTTTTACTTTATGCAATACATTTTTAAGGAGCACATATTCTTCGTTTGGATTTACAATTAATTCAATTTTATCTTTATTTGGCATTGGATATATTTTTATTTTAGGAATTACAATAATTTCTTGTGGTATGGATAAAACAAAATATAAAATATCATTATCTTTCCAAACTGATGATTTTATTTCTTCAAATTGATCAGACGTTAATTTACTTATTAGATTCAAATTTAACAATTTTGGATTAATTATTCCTACTTTAGTTAATTGTAATGCAAGCTGTATATCTTGAACATGATCAATATAACATTTTACGTTATTTAAAAAGGTATCAATTGCGATTTTTTTGTAAGTTGATTTTGTAATGCATTGTAATACATTCTAAGTTCTTTTATCAATTTATTTTCTTCATTAATATGTTTTATTATTGGATTCAAGTCTTTTACATTAATTTGATTTTCTTTAATATTTTTTAAAGTATCAAAAATTTCTTCTTTATCATTTTCATCTAATGTTCCGAATAAAAATTTTAATCCGCTGCCTACCAAATTAACGAGTCCTTTCTTGTGTCTACTGTGAAACATTTCTTTTTCTAATCTGGCTTCATTCATGTAATTAGTAATTAAATTTGTTTGTAAGTATTCATTTCTCTTGTATTCGAGTTCTAACTGAAAATATGCTTCAAGTAATTCAGTTTTATTAATGGATAAAACCTCAAATGTAAAGTTTGTTGGTAAATAAAATTGTCCTTGTTCTGTTAGGATATACCCGTTTTCACTGTTAACTTCTGTAATTTGAATAGATTGGCTATACGACTTATGAATTATAGTAAACATGATGAATATTGTTAAAAACATTGAGTAGAAGTATTTATTGAAGTAGTTTTTCTTGTTATCCGTTGGCGGGTTTCTGAAATTATTAATGTTATTAGAATTTTTCCCCTTTTTTTTTATTTTTTTCTTTTAAATTGATTCTTGTATTTTCTAACTTTTTTATTTTTAAATTTGACTAAATAATGTTCATTATCGTCATCTGTCTGAACTACTGTAATTTTGGCTTTTGGTAAATTTTGGCTATTTTAATTTATTATTTATAATTGTATTTTAATAATTTTGTATTAAAAACAATTATATTTTCAGATGTGCCAGAACAAGAAATTATCGACCGACAAGACCGAGTAGAAGGTTAGTAAAAATTTATTTAAAAGTGTAGTGAATATGTGAATATTAAGTGAATATGTTACTCCTCCCATCCCTTGAAATTACAGTGTCCTCACTGTTTACAATATGTTTTTTTTAATGTACGTAAATAAATTATAAATATAATTATAATGAAACTAAGAGTTATAGTCATATAAGTTATTGACAAGTTAAGTTTAAAATTAGAATTTACTTTTTCTACATGTTCTTTTAATTCTGTTAAAGTAATATTTTCAAAATTTATTTCATTATTTTTAGTAAAATACAACATATTGATTGGTTGATGTGTTTTCTTAATTTCAATACTAAAATTATTTATTTGAACTTTGCAATTATTGAAAGTAATGATATAATTTTTTTTAATTTTAATTTCTAAAGTATTACAATTTTGATTAATATATGATGTATTTATATTTTTTGTGATAATAATATTTGGAGGAAAATATTGAATTAATGGCTCACTAAATTTGCTATATTTACATTCAGTTTTTACATCATTTAATATATTTTTAATACATTCGTCTTTTACAATTTCAAGTTTTTTATTTTTTACTTTATGCAATACATTTTTAAGGAGCACATATTCTTCGTTTGGATTTACAATTAATTCAATTTTATCTTTATTTGGCATTGGATATATTTTTATTTTAGGAATTACAATAATTTCTTGTGGTATGGATAAAACAAAATATAAAATATCATTATCTTTCCAAACTGATGATTTTATTTCTTCAAATTGATCAGACGTTAATTTACTTATTAGATTCAAATTTAACAATTTTGGATTAATTATTCCTACTTTAGTTAATTGTAATGCAAGCTGTATATCTTGAACATGATCAATATAACATTTTACGTTATTTAAAAAGGTATCAATTGCGATTTTTTTGTAAGTTGATTTTGTAATGCATTGTAATACATTCTAAGTTCTTTTATCAATTTATTTTCTTCATTAATATGTTTTATTATTGGATTCAAGTCTTTTACATTAATTTGATTTTCTTTAATATTTTTTAAAGTATCAAAAATTTCTTCTTTATCATTTTCATCTAATGTTCCGAATAAAAATTTTAATCCGCTGCCTACCAAATTAACGAGTCCTTTCTTGTGTCTACTGTGAAACATTTCTTTTTCTAATCTGGCTTCATTCATGTAATTAGTAATTAAATTTGTTTGTAAGTATTCATTTCTCTTGTATTCGAGTTCTAACTGAAAATATGCTTCAAGTAATTCAGTTTTATTAATGGATAAAACCTCAAATGTAAAGTTTGTTGGTAAATAAAATTGTCCTTGTTCTGTTAGGATATACCCGTTTTCACTGTTAACTTCTGTAATTTGAATAGATTGGCTATACGACTTATGAATTATAGTAAACATGATGAATATTGTTAAAAACATTGAGTAGAAGTATTTATTGAAGTAGTTTTTCTTGTTATCCGTTGGCGGGTTTCTGAAATTATTAATGTTATTAGAATTTTTCCCCTTTTTTTTTTATTTTTTTCTTTTAAATTGATTCTTGTATTTTCTAACTTTTTTATTTTTAAATTTGACTAAATAATGTTCATTATCGTCATCTGTCTGAACTACTGTAATTTTGGCTTTTGGTAAATTTTGGCTATTTTAATTTATTATTTATAATTGTATTTTAATAATTTTGTATTAAAAACAATTATATTTTCAGATGTGCCAGAACAAGAAATTATCGACCGACAAGACCGAGTAGAAGGTTAGTAAAAATTTATTTAAAAGTGTAGTGAATATGTGAATATTAAGTGAATATGTTACTCCTCCCATCCCTTGAAATTACAGTGTCCTCACTGTTTACAATATGTTTTTTTTAATGTACGTAAATAAATTATAAATATAATTATAATGAAACTAAGAGTTATAGTCATATAAGTTATTGACAAGTTAAGTTTAAAATTAGAATTTACTTTTTCTACATGTTCTTTTAATTCTGTTAAAGTAATATTTTCAAAATTTATTTCATTATTTTTAGTAAAATACAACATATTGATTGGTTGATGTGTTTTCTTAATTTCAATACTAAAATTATTTATTTGAACTTTGCAATTATTGAAAGTAATGATATAATTTTTTTTAATTTTAATTTCTAAAGTATTACAATTTTGATTAATATATGATGTATTTATATTTTTTGTGATAATAATATTTGGAGGAAAATATTGAATTAATGGCTCACTAAATTTGCTATATTTACATTCAGTTTTTACATCATTTAATATATTTTTAATACATTCGTCTTTTACAATTTCAAGTTTTTTATTTTTTACTTTATGCAATACATTTTTAAGGAGCACATATTCTTCGTTTGGATTTACAATTAATTCAATTTTATCTTTATTTGGCATTGGATATATTTTTATTTTAGGAATTACAATAATTTCTTGTGGTATGGATAAAACAAAATATAAAATATCATTATCTTTCCAAACTGATGATTTTATTTCTTCAAATTGATCAGACGTTAATTTACTTATTAGATTCAAATTTAACAATTTTGGATTAATTATTCCTACTTTAGTTAATTGTAATGCAAGCTGTATATCTTGAACATGATCAATATAACATTTTACGTTATTTAAAAAGGTATCAATTGCGATTTTTTTGTAAGTTGATTTTGTAATGCATTGTAATACATTCTAAGTTCTTTTATCAATTTATTTTCTTCATTAATATGTTTTATTATTGGATTCAAGTCTTTTACATTAATTTGATTTTCTTTAATATTTTTTAAAGTATCAAAAATTTCTTCTTTATCATTTTCATCTAATGTTCCGAATAAAAATTTTAATCCGCTGCCTACCAAATTAACGAGTCCTTTCTTGTGTCTACTGTGAAACATTTCTTTTTCTAATCTGGCTTCATTCATGTAATTAGTAATTAAATTTGTTTGTAAGTATTCATTTCTCTTGTATTCGAGTTCTAACTGAAAATATGCTTCAAGTAATTCAGTTTTATTAATGGATAAAACCTCAAATGTAAAGTTTGTTGGTAAATAAAATTGTCCTTGTTCTGTTAGGATATACCCGTTTTCACTGTTAACTTCTGTAATTTGAATAGATTGGCTATACGACTTATGAATTATAGTAAACATGATGAATATTGTTAAAAACATTGAGTAGAAGTATTTATTGAAGTAGTTTTTCTTGTTATCCGTTGGCGGGTTTCTGAAATTATTAATGTTATTAGAATTTTTCCCCTTTTTTTTTTATTTTTTTCTTTTAAATTGATTCTTGTATTTTCTAACTTTTTTATTTTTAAATTTGACTAAATAATGTTCATTATCGTCATCTGTCTGAACTACTGTAATTTTGGCTTTTGGTAAATTTTGGCTATTTTAATTTATTATTTATAATTGTATTTTAATAATTTTGTATTAAAAACAATTATATTTTCAGATGTGCCAGAACAAGAAATTATCGACCGACAAGACCGAGTAGAAGGTTAGTAAAAATTTATTTAAAAGTGTAGTGAATATGTGAATATTAAGTGAATATGTTACTCCTCCCATCCCTTGAAATTACAGTGTCCTCACTGTTTACAATATGTTTTTTTTAATGTACGTAAATAAATTATAAATATAATTATAATGAAACTAAGAGTTATAGTCATATAAGTTATTGACAAGTTAAGTTTAAAATTAGAATTTACTTTTTCTACATGTTCTTTTAATTCTGTTAAAGTAATATTTTCAAAATTTATTTCATTATTTTTAGTAAAATACAACATATTGATTGGTTGATGTGTTTTCTTAATTTCAATACTAAAATTATTTATTTGAACTTTGCAATTATTGAAAGTAATGATATAATTTTTTTTAATTTTAATTTCTAAAGTATTACAATTTTGATTAATATATGATGTATTTATATTTTTTGTGATAATAATATTTGGAGGAAAATATTGAATTAATGGCTCACTAAATTTGCTATATTTACATTCAGTTTTTACATCATTTAATATATATGAATCTTAAAAATATTTTCACAAAGTCACCAAAAATTCAAACTATTAAGAAGAAGTTCCTTTTGAGGTAAAATATATGCAAGTTAAGTCATAACTTCTTAATCAAAATTAATTCTAATTATTAAGCCCCATAAATTCATAGTCATTCATAGACGGTGTGCGGCTTTGAAATATAATATGCCTCGTCTAAAAAATAACATAAACTCTAGTATCCGCGTTTTGCCAGATAATTTGTATCGGCAAAAATAAACATAAGCATCCGTTGGACAATACTTTGCCTCAAGAATGCTTTTCACAAAATGCTAAAAAAGCAATTTCGGATTTCTTTGTTTCTTCTTGAGGAATGATTTTAATAATTTCAATTTTAAAGTTTAGTTTTTAAGTAAATCTAAAGTTGAACAGACGTTCAATAATAAAGTATTAAAAATTCAAAAAATTGTTTTATATAATTTTTTTTTGGTTTAATTACCAAAAGAAAATATAATTGGTAGCAGAGCAAGGTTGTACATTTTTTTTTGTACAACAAGTGTAAAAATAAGTATCCTCAAAAAGAGGAGAAAAAATTTAAAAATATCTTCAAAAAAATAGAAGAGAAAAGTGTAAAAATGAGTATCCTCAAAAAGAGGAGAAAAAATTTAAAAATATCTTCAAAACAATAGAAGAGAAAAGTGTAAAAATAAGTATCCTGAAAATAAAAAGGAGAAAAAATTTAAATTTATTAAAAAAAGTATCTTCAAAAAAAGAAGAGAAAAAACAACTGAAATCAAAATCAAGATAAATCAAATTTATTAAAAAAAAGTATCTTTAAAAAAAAAGAAGAGAAAAAATAATTGCAATCAAAATCAACATAAAATTTTTCAAAAAATTTGTTGAGTGCAAAAACAATTAAAATATAAAAAACATATGTGATCAAGAAAAAATTTTGAAATACATATGTGGAAAAAACAAAGTTAAAATTCATTAACATTTTTTTTTAAAAAAAACAGTGTTCGTGAAGATTCAAAACTTTAAAAATAAATCAAAAAAATTATAGTTGAAGACACAAAAATTTTATTGAAACACCAGAATCAATTTAGTGACGAAATTGTGAAAAACGAAACAGTGCAAAAACAAGTACTTTTCTGGAAAATCATCAACTGGAAAAACAAGACGAAACAAGGCAAAACCAAGGACCTTTACGAAAAATCATCATCAGAAAAAAAACAAGTTGGTTATATTATAAAATATTATTTTATATATATGTATATATATTTTTACACACATTTTATATTTCAATACAAATTATATTATACATTATATATTCATCGATATATATTACGTTGTCAAATCATAATTATGTTAACTAAAATTATTAAAAAAAATTTTAATTCAAAGTGGCACTACAAAATGATAATCATGAAGTTCTCGCAGATATTATGCTGCTTTGACAATTTTACGAAACAAAATAACAGGTGACGCAAATGACGTCTTGACCAATCATGGTACTCCACTTAATTTTGACGCAATAATCAGTCGTCTTGACTTTGCCTATGCGGACAAACGTCCAATACATTTAATAGAGTAAGAACTTAGTGTGCTCACGCAAGGACATTTATCAATAATAGATTATTATAACGAAGTAAATAAAAAATTAACTCTATTAATAAATAAAACCATAATGTCTTACGGCAATGATGCTCAAATAACGAAAGAATTAAATAAGAAAAATTGTCAATATGACCTTAGAGTTTTTATTACAGGCCTAAATCAACCATTATCTAATGTATTATTTTCCCTAGCGCCTGAAGACTTGCCAAATGCTTTGGCTAAAGCACAAGAATTAGAGTCAAATCAACTTAGAACCAATTTTGCAAATCATTTTGCTCGAAATAATAATACACCTAAACAAAATAATTTACGTTTTCCACAACGACCTATTCAACAGTTTAATAGGTATAATAATTTCACTAAACCTGAACCCATGGAAGTAGATTCTTCTTTAAAAGTATTTAACAAACCGAGTTACCCAATGGGAAATAATTATAATCGTTTCAATAACCCATACAATAATTATTCTAACAGGAATAATTATAATAAATATAATAATCAAAATCGTTTCCAAAATAATAATCAACTTGGGCGAGTAAATCCAAGAATTAATAATCAAGAATTTCCAGTTAAACGAAGTTTTGTACAAACTCCAAGTACTTCCGATTGTAAAGGCCCAAAGAATAATTAACATAACGGGGAATGCTTTTTTAGACAAAAGCCACAACTCCCCTATATCTTCATCACAAGTGACATCACAGGAGAGAGGTTAAAAACCCTCATAGACACGGGCGCAACTAATTGCTATTGCAGACCAAATTCTTTAAAAACTTTTTTTGAACTACCAATCTATAAAAGAGTGAAAACAATAAACGATTTCACCACAATAACACACTTTTCTGAACTAAACATTTTCGGTCACAAACAACGTTTTTACATAATAGACAACTTGGACGTAGATTTACTTATAGGTTTTAATCTTTTAAAAAAAGCAAATATAATATTAAATTTGCAAAATAATGAATTAATTTATAACGGGGAATGTTATAAAATGAATAAAGAAGACGAAATAAATAAAAATTTGGGATCAAATGATCTCAAAAAGCCAGCCGAAGATATTACCGGCAATAAAAATGAAAATCTTTTAAGAAATAATAATTTATATATAAATCAAAATATTAATATTAAAAGTAATGATTCAGAAATTGATAAAGAAGATAAAAATATAACAAAACTAAGAGAAGAAATAAAAAATGAAATAATCAAAAAACACAATGAAATAAATTTAAATCTACCATTTCGAACTGATGTCCGTGCTGAAATACGGACAATTGATAATTCTTATATATGGAGTAAGCAATATACTTACCCATTATCTTGTATAGAGTTCGTTAATAAAGAAATTAATAAATTACTTGAGGAAGGTATAATTCGCCCATCAAGAAGCCCTTTTAATTCCCCAATTTGGGTTGTCCCCAAAAAAGGATTTGACCAGAATGGTCACCAATCACAAAGACTAGTTGTAGATTATAAAAAATTAAACGAACAAACTATTCCGGATAAATATCCAATACCCGACACAAATGTCATTCTAATCTAGAATCCGGTTTTCATCAAATTCTGATGAACGAAAAAGATATTGAAAAAACAGCATTTTCAATATATAACGGCAAATATGAATTTACCAGATTACCCTTCGGTCTAAGAAATGCTCCAAGTATTTTTCAGCGAGCAATGGATGACATTCTACGAGATTATATAGGAAAATTTTGTCACGTCTATATTGACGATATAATAGTATTCTCTGAAAGTTTGAATGACCATATAGAACATTTAAAAACCGTAATTAACGTCTTAAAAAACGCAAATATGAAAATTTCATTATTAAAGTCCAAATTTCTTAAACAAGAGGTTGAATTCTTAGGATACATTATTTCTCATAAAATAATTAAAATGGACCCAAAAAAAACTCATGCTATTCTTAATTATCCCAATCCAAAAACAGTAAGACAATTACGCACATTTTTAGGCATGACGGGTTATTATAGGAAATTTATTGAAAATTATGCATCAATTTCAAAACCCCTTACAAAGTATCTTAGTGGAGAAAATGGGAAAGTTTCAAAATACAAATCCAAAAACACTGTAATTATACTTGACAATGATGCAAAAGAAGCATGCGAAAATTTGAAAAAACTTTTAGCAAATCACATCACTTTAGTTCAACCCAATTTTAAAGACAAATTTACACTAACAACTGATGCTTCCAACATAGCAATTGGAGCCGTTCTCAGTCAAAATAATCACCCAGTAACCTTCATATCAAAAACCTTAACACCAACCGAACAAAATTATGCTACGAATGAGAAGGAACTGTTTGCCATAGTGTGGGCATTAAAAACACTCAGAAATTACCTTTACGGTGTAACCAATTTAGAAATTTATACTGACCATCAACCCTTGACATTTGCTTTATCAAATAAAAATCCTAACACAAAAATGAAAAGATGGCGTGCTCTTATCGAGGAGTTTTCTCCGAAAATCATGTATAAACCCGATGCAACAAATGTTGTAGCCGATGCTTTGTCAAGACAGATATTAAAGCAAATATCTGATTCTCAATCAGAATCCTCTCTTCAATCCACTCAACACTCCACTGAAAGCAGTGACAATGTTTTAATTTCCAAAACTTCAAAACCTCTAAACGAATTCAAACAACAAATTATATTAAATAAGCAAACGTTTACATTACATGAATTTAGAAAGATTTTTAATAAAATTAGACACACAATAGAATATGATAATGTTGATAATTTAATTCGCATTTTAAAAGAACATCTAAAACCTAAATTGGTAACAGCAATATTTTGCACCTATGAAGATTTATATGAAATAAAAGATAAATTATTAGAAACATTTAGTAATAAATTTTTTTTTCCAAAAATTTTTGCTATTGATATGATTAATAAAGATGATCAAGAAAATATAGTTTTACAAACCCACAGTAGAGCTCGCAGGAATTACAAGGAAAATATTAAACAAATTTATAAAGATTATTATTGGCCTGAAATGAAAAAAACAATTTAAACAATTCGTTAAAAATTGCGAAATATGCAATAAAAATAAATATGACAGAAGACCCCAACAGGTTCCAATTGG